ACAGGTTGATGTTGAAGAATGAAACTCAAACATAGTTCTATTGATTTAGTCCCTCTTTTAGTTTTGCTAATTTAACACGTGAGCGTTAATCTACTCTCCCTCAAATAAAATGATAATCCAGGTATGTGAATTTGAGCTCTTTTTTTTGTCATTCTATTACCCCTCATTTTTTGGTTTTTGATTAAATTGTAATTAATGTTATATTTTGTAGTACTTTCCTTTGCGTTTAATTATCTGAGGAGCAAGTACATGAAGTTCGGGAAGAATTGGCTGAATATGTTCTGTAAGGTAAAAAATCTACTAATGTCGATTCGTTTGTTGTTATTGTTATTTTAAATTTCAAATTTATTATAAAATTGTATTAATAAATAATGATTGAGATGTTTCTTTTCAATTTGTAATTAGATACATGAACATTATTTCCATACTTGGCAGGTTTGTTGTTTGTTATACTCGTATTAGATTTTCTTTTATATCTTGTTTATAAGATGTGATGAAATGAGTTAAATTTGATATTAATATATGTATAACTTTCGCGATGCAGGAGAATACCATCAAAACGTTATTGGACAAGATATTGGCTAATATTAGGCGGATTTTTTACTAAGAATATTAGTTGTTTTTCTTGATTTGTTGGAATTGTATATACGGTTCTTTCATAGTTTTGTGCTACATAATCTCTTGTACATACTCGAGCATAATGTTAAAATTGGTGGATTGTGTTAGTAAGTTTTTGTTATATTCATGTTTGGGTTGTTTTCTTGTTGGTTTTTGCTTCTTGGTACTTGCTTCATGATTTAATTCATTTAGTTCTTGTTTACTAGTATAGGGGTAATGAATACAGGTAACATTTGTTTAGAAAAGTGTGATATATTATCATCATCTCAGATAGCACTTCTGTTGAAAAATGTTATCTTGTCAATATTACAGATAACGCTTAATATAAAAAAGTGTTATGTGAAGGTTCTTTACATAACACTCAATATAAAAAAGTGTTATGAGAAAGGTTCTTCACATAACGCTTAATATAAAAAAGCGTTATGTGAATGGTACTTCACATAACGCTTTATAAGCGTTATCTGAAGAGGTCGTCTTCAGATAACACTGATACTGATAACGCTTAAAAGCGTTATCTGAAGCGAAAAAAAAGCGCTATCTGAAGCATTTTTTGGCGTAGTGATTTTAAAGAGTTACACTATAAATTATAAACTAGTCTTTTCAGATTTTTTGATAAATAAATAAATTAATTGATGTAATATTAGAAAATGCTACAGTCTCGTTACTGAACCATTCCGTCGAGATTTGTAATTATTCGGTTATCATGTAACCGTCGTGGATAGTTGATCTAACGATTACAAATCCCGATAAAATTATTTCGTCACTGGACCGTAGAATCTCCAGGAAATATTATGTAAATTTAGGTAATGAGAGGGATCATCTCTCACTTGCATTCTTTTCCTTTTCAAGTACTTATATTGAAATACTTTTGGGATAATTGTAAAATATCTTGTTGGACAAACCATTTTGGACCTATTGACAATTGACATGATCAAAAGCCAATATTTATGGCTAGTCAATCATTTTGCTAAATTGAGCTGCTCTCATATTATTAACATATGCTTAGTTTTCTTGTAACATTAAAATGCAGTCTTATAATCATTCATTTATGACTATAGTACTAAATAATTGTTGAATCATTTGCTAGGGTGGGCTAGAATTTATAGGTTGGAGTTGGACTGAATAAAATTTATTTATTCAATAAGTCTTTATTTACTTATTAATTTGTTAGTTTGCAATATAGTTAGGTAGCATATATATCTTTACTTAGATAGGCTTTATACTCAAATGTTATACTTTAAAATATAATATAAATAAACTTGTGATACGCCACTGTATAAATTTTCATTTTTAGTAACTAAAAAATATATATCTGAGATTTTAAACGAATATATGATAAAAGTACAATTATTTAAGTTGATTCTATGATAATATTTAACTATGTATTAGTGATTATATATGTAGTATTATTGATTTCTATTTCTAAATTATATTTGTAAGAATGAGGAAAAAGCTTAAATATATTTCCCTGCCCACGTGGGCAGTGCCCACTAGTTTATTTTATATGAAAAACGTATTCTGAGAATACGTTTTTCATATAAAACAAACTAGTGGGCATTGCCCACCGTGGGCAGGTGAGCGGGACTGGAAAAAAGCTGAGGTAAAATAGTTTAATCTTTGAAAATATTTTTGTAAGCGTGGCCAAATGATGGCCCGTAACCAGCCCGACCATTTCTACGGGCTTGTTCATTGAACAAGTCATAAATCGCCGGACCCGGCCTGACCCATAACAAAATTATCTTGTACCAATCACAAATCT